TCCTGGGTGGGCGTGGCCTTGTCAACTTCCTGCACCACTGTGGTGCAGGAAGTTGACAAGGCCACGCCCACCCAGGAACCAGGAAGAGAACCAGTTGCTAATTTTTTTCAATCCCACCCCTGGTCGTAAGTCAAGGACCATTGGAAACGAGCTTTCTCCATCTGGCACCCTATAGCCTACCTAGCATAATTCACTGTATCTAATGGGGAAGGATGAATCCACTTGGGATCTTCCCATCTATTTTTAATGAAAGTTACTTCTGATTAATGAAGAAATTACTCTGGGCTATTTAAATTGATATTAAATATACATGATTTGATGAAAGTAAGTGCTCCCAACTCCAGGACTTTCCAGAATAATATTAAATGAGAAGCGAAAAAGATGAAAAACAAAAGAATGTGACACTGACGGTGTCCAGAGGCGTAATTTTAGGGGTCTCTTTGTCGCCCTTAGGTCAGGGGTAGCTACTTACGACCACGATGGGTTCCAAATTTTTTGTTGCTAAGCGAGACAAACGTTGTCCCTAATTTTGTCCCATTTTACAACCTTTCTTGCCACTAGTTGTTAAGTGAATCACTGCAGTGGTTAAGTTAGTAACGTGGTTGCTAAGCGAATCTGGCTTCCCCACTGACTTTGTCAGCCAGGGAATTGCAAAAGGGGATCACGAAACTCCCCGGGACACTGCAACCGTCGTAAATATGAGCCAGCTGCCAAGCATCCCAATTTTGATCACGTGACCATGGGGATGTTGCATGAGTGGTGCGGTGGCTTAAGGGTGGAGCTCTCACCTCACAATCAGGAGTTCGATCCTAGGTAGAGGCAGATATTTCTCTCTCTGGACACAATGAGATTATATCTGCTGAATAAAACTCCACATTGGCAACAGGGAAGGGCATCCGGCCAGTAAAACACTCAGCTCCATTTAGTTGCCCAGACTCCAACCCACAAGGCATTATGGGGTCATTAAAAGAAGATGATGAGCGCAAGGAAGTTGCAACGGTCCCAAGTGTGAAAAATGGTCAAAAGTCACTATTTTCAGTGCCATCGTAAAGTCGGTCACTAAATGAACTGTTGTAAGTTAAGGACTACCTGCATTTTTCCTGTCCTTTAGCAGCAGCCAGCATCGTTCTGCTTCTCAAAAGGTACTCTCAGGGTGAAAAGAATTACCCACAGAATGAATACATCACCAAAAGGGGTTAACAGATATAATTATAAACAGATCTGGAACATGATTTCCCTGTGAGACCATGGATGTAGCTGAATTGACTAGAAAGCTCGTCATCCAAATATTCGAAGTCTTTAATCATCTAGGCCATCTCAGAGCCTTGTTGGCCAACTACAGGGAAGCTACGCTGCCACGGAAAGGTTCCCCAGCCACTATGTGTAGTACTGAACAACCTAATAAGGGCCTTTTTAAGTGCTGCAAACTGCAACCTTGGGTGGAAAGGGAGCTATCAAATGTGCAATGCTGGCGTTGATGAAGCTCCTATCAACTTGGGAGAGTGGAGAACCAGCCTCATAGTCTGAGCCGCGGTGGCGCAGTGGTGAGAGTGCGGTACTGCTGGCTGCTTCTGCTGCCTGCCGGCTGCCTGCAATTTGGCAGTTCGAATTTCCCCAGGCTCAAAGTTGACTCAGCCTTCCAGCCTTGCGAGGTGGGTCAAATGAGGACCCAGATTGTTGGGGGCAATTATGCTGACTCTATAAACCGCTTAGAGAAGACTTGCTTTGTAGTCTTTTAAATACGCAGCATGCATGGCTTTGAACAGACCCTAATACAGTGTTTCTCAACCTTGGCCACTTGAAGATGTCTGGACTTCAACTCCCAGAATTCCCCAGCCAGCATTCGCTGGCTGGGGAATTCTGGGAGTNTGGAGTGGAGAGGGAATGGAGATTTTACAGTATCCTTTCCCTGGAGTGGGGAGAGAATGGGGATTTTGCAGTATCATTTCCCTGGAGTGGGGAGGGGATGGAGATTTTTGCCAATATCCTTTCCCCGGAGTGGGGAGGGAATGGAGATCTTGCAGTATCCTTCTCCCTGCCATGTCCACCAAGTCACGCCCACAGAACTGGTAGTAAAATAATTTTAATCCCACCAATGATAAGCAGCATGTACATTCAATATGCAGCGCATGCATATGAATCCTCCCACTGCCCAGCACAGAAGTCTATGTAACTATGCTGAGAAGATCCACAGAAGAAACATCCCCTTGTAGCATCTCACCATTAAGCCATGTAGGCAGGTGCTCAGTCTTGACGGGATACTGGGGCCCCAGGTTGCGCAGGATCACAGGATCGGTACCCAGGAAGTTGTTGTGTGTTGCGGAGTACAACCCTTCCTCTGAAAGAGACAAGGAAAAGGAGTGAGCCCAGTAAACCCGGAGTTCTCTATCGGATTCCGAAAAGTAGAGACGCTTGACTGTCAATGGTCGTGGTGCACAATCTTGGCAGCTTTGAAGAAGTATGGACTTCAACACCCACATTCAGGACACAGCATGTGCGATACTCGACCAAGGTCTGCTGTTTTGTCAGGGATGCTACGGGTCCTCTCCAGGACCAGTTTTCTTTGTTACCTTCTGGGAGGGGGCTTTTTGGTATCCGAAGCAGAACAACTAGGTTCTGTAATAGCTTTGTAGCATAGAGTGTCAACCTTGCTAACTATTAAGCGTTTTCAACATATGCTATTGTATTCACAGAAAAAAAAGTGACAATAGAGGTTATCTCCTCTCCTCTCCCCTTATTCTATTCTATTCATTCCATTCTTCCATTCCATATTTATTCTATTCTCTTCCATATTTATTCTATTCTCTTCCATATTTATTCTCTTCTATTTTATTCTATTCATTCCAATATTCCATTCCATTCTTATTTTATTCCATTCCATATTTATTCTATTCTATTCCATATTTATTCTATTCTATTCTATTCCATTCCATTCATTCCAATATTCCATTCTATTCTATCCTATCCTATCCCATTCTATGAGCTGCGGTGGTGCAGTAGTTGAAATGCAGTCCTGCAAGCTACTTCTGCTGACTGCCAGCTGACTGCAATTTGGCAGTTCAATCTCACCAGGCTCAAGGTNTGATGAGTTCCCCATTTATTCCCTCATCGAAAGGCATTCATACACATGCTAGAACTGTGATGGTTAACCTATGGCATGCGTGCCATAGGTGGCACCTAGAGCCCTCTCTGGGACCATGTGAGCCATTGTCCCAGATCAGCTTCGCCACACATGTGCACGCACCTCCTGCCAGCTGGCTGATTTTTGGGTCTCACACATGGGGGGGGGTCACATGGACATGCACGGGGGAGCACAGGGGATGTGGCATATACCTACACAGCCCATCTTTGGTCTCAGGAGGATGCAGGGCAGCGTTCCCCACCCAGAAGTCTATTTTTGGTCCCAGGAGGCTGCCAGGAAGCCTACTAGGCCCAAAATGGGGCAAGGGGGGGGGGTGTCACACATGCATACACAGGGGTGGGTGGGGCACAGGAGTGTGTGTCGCACGCACATTGCATTATGGGTGTGGGTGCTTTCGGCACGTGATGACAAAAAGGTTAGCCATCACTGCCCCAGAATGTGCTCTACCAGCCCACTTTCCCTGCGGTGGGCACACTTCCAAAGCAAATCCTAGATTGAAGCCACACAAAAAAACACACATACGCACGCATACACACTCCTCCCAATATTTTCATTTTCTAAAAAATGCCAGCGAGGATTGCACGGAACAAAAGGCAGGAATTAGATGGTGCCAGGGCCTGGTGTGTCGCTTTACAAAATGTCAGACTTGGGCGGCATCAAAAAATTGAACGTATAATAAAAATGTCAGCTTCCCGCTGATTTATTTTCTGTTAATTAAAACAAAATTAAAGTAATTTATCGCAAAAGACGGCCTACGCCCCTGTCCGGATTAAAGAGATGACATGATAGATTTGCTGCAAGGCCTCTGCCCAACACCTTGGAGGGCTACATCTCCCTGAGTGGGATCCGATGATCCCTGGAGTCGGGAAGGAATGGGGATTCTGCAATATCCTATCCCTGTAGTGGGGAGAGAATGGAGCATTTGCAGTGTCCTTCCCCAGGAGTGGGGAGGGAATGGGGATTTTGCAGTATCCTTCCCCTGGAGTGGGGAGGGGATGGAGATTTTGCAGTGTTCTTCCCCAGGAGTGGGGAGGAAATGGGGATTTTGCAGTATCATTTCCCTGGAGTGAGAAGGGAATGGGGATTTTGCAGTATCCTTCCCCTGGAGTGGGGAGGGGATGGAGATTTTGCAGTGTCCTTCCCAGGAGTGGGGAGGGAATGGGGATTTTGCAGTATCATTTCTCTGGAGTGGGGAGGAAATGGGGATTTTGCAGTATCATTTCCCTGGAGTGGGGAGGGAATGGGGATTTTGCAGTATCCTTCCCCAGGAGTGGGGAGGAAATGGGGATTTTGCAGTATCATTTCCCTGGAGTGGGGAGGAAATGGGGATTTTGCAGTATCATTTCCCTGGAGTGGGGAGGGGATGGAGATTTTGCAGTATCCTTCCCCCAGGAGTGGTGAGGGAATGGGGATTTTGCAGCATCCTTCCCTTGGAGTGGAGAGGGAATGGGGATTTTACAATATCCTTCCCCTGGAGTGGGGAGGGAATGGGCATTTTGCAGCATCCTTCCCTTGGAGTGGAGAGGGAATGGAGATTTTGCAGTATCCTTCCCCCAGGAGTGGAGAGGGAATGGGGATTTTACAATATCCTTCCCCTGGAGTGGGGAGGGAATGGGGATTTTGCAGCATCCTTCCCTTGGAGTGGGGAGGGAATGGAGATTTTGCAGTATCCTTCCCCCAGGAGTGGAGAGG